GTCTTACTAGTCCTATTGAGAATCAGGTTGCTCGGGATTTTCTGAATATTTTCTCTCGGGAAAATATTTTTGATGATTCCTGGGGGACTGATTTGGACGAAGTAAGGTCTATAACTAAAAATTTTCCAAATATGAAAGCTCCAGGTGATGATGGAATTTTCTATATCCTCATCAAAAAACTCCCAGAGAGTACCTTGTCTTTGTTGGTAAAATTATTTAACAGATGTTTCCATTTGGCATACTTTCCTGATAAATGGAAAAATGCAAAAGTTGTTCCAATTTTGAAGCCGGATAAAAATCCAGCTGAAGCTTCTAGCTACCGTCCAATAAGTTTGCTTTCTTCAATAAGTAAACTTTTTGAAAAGATAATTTTGAATAGAATGATGCTTCACATCAATACGAACTCAATTTTTGCAGATGAGCAGTTTGGATTTCGCCATGGGCATTCAACTACTCATCAACTCTTAAGAGTTAACAATTTAATTCGTTCAAACAAATCTGAAGGCCACTCAACTGGAGTTGCTCTTCTAGACATAGAAAAAGCATTCGACAGTGTTTGGCATGAAGGTTTGATTGCTAAATTGAAAAAGTTTAATTTTCCACTTTATATTATGAAATTAGTTCAAAATTATTTAACTGACAGAACTCTTCAAGTAAATTATCAAAATTCCAAATCTAATCGACTACCTGTTAGGGCAGGAGTTCCTCAGGGTAGCATTCTTGGGCCTATATTGTATAACATTTTCACTTCGGACCTCCCTGATTTGCCTCAGGGTTGCCACAAATCTTTGTTCGCTGATGACACAGGCATTTCCGCTAAAGGAAGAAGTCTTCGTGTTATTTGCAGCAGACTTCAGAAAAGTTTAGATATTTTCTCTTCTTATTTACAAAAATGGAAGATTTCTCCCAACGCTTCCAAAACTCAACTTATAATATTTCCACATAAGCCTAGAGCTTCGTTTTTGAAACCTAGTAGTAGTCACATAGTCACTATGAACGGAGTTCCAATTTCCTGGTCAAACCAAGTGAAATATCTTGGATTAATACTTGACCAAAAATTAACTTTTAAAGATCACATTGAGGGCATTCAAGCCAAATGTAACAAATATATTAAATGTTTGTATCCTCTTATAAACAGGAAATCCAAACTTTGCCTGACGAATAAACTTCTAATATTTAAACAAGTTTTTAGACCGGCCATGCTTTACGCTGTACCAATATGGTCTAGTTGCTGCACTACCAGGAAAAAAGCACTTCAAAGGATTCAGAACAAAATTCTGAAAATGATTTTGAAGTTGCCTCCCTGGTACAGTACAACCGAAGTACATAGAATTTCGAATGTTGAGACTTTAGCACAAATGTCCAACAAAATAATGAATAATTTCAGGCAAAAATCGTTGCAATCCTCAATTGCAACGATTAATTCCCTTTATACTTAGATAAGATTTAGTTTTAGTTTTTAGTTTTAAGATATCAATTGTTATACTGACATGCAGGTTAAAAAACCTGTTTAAAATACTGAATTGCCAAGACAGGAACAATGTAAAAACACTTAGATATATATCATAACAATTAAGGCTGGTACGTTACTGCAGTAACTGGAGCACCTAGGTTAAAATGAAATGTAATTTATTTTGAATTTGGAACAAATAAAGAGTTAAAAAAAAAAAAAAAAAAAAAAAATTCCCCCTATTGTGATAACCACTTCCGATTTCCATGCTCTTCGCATGGAACTTTTGAACTTCGTGAAAGTTAAGTTTTCTCTACAAATTGGACGTCGGGGTGAATGCCGTGTATTGGCTGAAGCCTTGGACGGATTTAAATGTCTTCTCAAGTATCTTACTGAGAAGAAGCACAAATTTTTTACTTACGACACCAAAACTGAACGTGTGTTCAAGGTTGTCATGAAAGGACTGCCCAGTGGTGAATCCCTGGATCAGATCAAAGATGAACTGGCAAAATTACTTGGAGTTGTGCCACTCCAAGTAATCAAACTGAAAATGAAATCCCGTCCTGGCGATTCGCGCAACGGGATTTCTAATGATTTTTATTTAGTTCACTTCAAGTCTAGTGAACTAAACAACCTTAAGGCCTTAGAAAAAGCTAGCCTTATTCTCCATGTCCGAGTGAAGTGGGAACACTTCAGGAAGACTGGAGGAAATTTCCAAAACCTCACCCAGTGCCGTAAGTGCCAGGATTTTTTACAGAAATCATTAATTGACATGATTTCTGATATGCTTAAATCTAACTCCATGTTTGATGCTATTCAAACTGGAATAAAATTTGCAAATAATATTGTCATGACTTTAAAATTCAGTAATAGATTTTAAAGCATTAAATATTGTAAATTGGAATGCTCGATCTCTTAAAGATAATGAAGACGAGCTATTTAACGTTTTGAGAGTTCATAACGTGCATATTGCCGTTATAACTGAAACGTTCCTTAAACCTGACCATAAGGTTAAGAAGGACGCAAATTACTTGATTTATAGAAATGATCGTCTTGATGGACCCTGTGGTGGCGTTGCCATCATTATTCATAGACGAATCAAACATAAAATTCTTTCTTCATTTGAAACCAAAGTTTTTGAAATTTTGGGAGTTTCTGTTGAAACAAAATTTGGACAACTTACGTTTATAGCTGCCTATTTGCCATTCCAATGCGCAGGCCAGCAAATGAATTTTCTCAAGGGCGAACTCCAGAAACTTACCCGTCATAGGTCTAAATTCTTCATTATTGGTGATTTTAATGCAAAACACCGCTCATGGAATAATGCTCAAAGCAATTCTGTTTGATGATTGTTCTGCAGGTTATTACACTATTCAATATCCAAACAGCCCAACATGCTTTTCTTCTGCAAGAAATCCCTCCACTATTGATTTGGTCTTAACTGATTCATGTCAACTTTGTAGCCAATTGGTTACCCATGCTAACTTCGGTTCTGATCACCTTCCAGTAACTTTTGAAATATCCCAAGAAATAATTTCTAATTCCAACAGCTTTACTTTCAATTACCATAGAGCTGATTGGGAGCAGTATCGAACATTTATGGAATATAACTTCAATCCAAACATTCCTTTGCAAACCAAAGATGAAATTAATTATGCTCTTGAATCTCTGACTACTTCTATAGTTGAAGCAAGAGCTGCCTCAGTACCAAAATGCGAGGTTAAATTCGATTCAATTATAATAGACGACGATCTTCAGCTCTTGATCCGTCTTAAAAATGTCCATAGGAGACAATATCAAAGAACACGCGATCCTGCCATAAAGGTTATCTGGCGGGATTTGCAAAAACAAATTAAAAAGCGATTCTCTGCCCTGAGGAACAAAACTTTTGAAAATAATATTTCTAAATTAGACCCGAGTTCCCAAACCCAAAAATTTTGAAAAAACCTCAAAAGCCTATTCCAGCGCTTAAAGAAGGTGGTAAAATTTTGATCACAAATTTGGAAAAAAAACTCAGAAACTTGCTAAGCAATTCGAGAGTTCCCATAATTTCAGTTTGGGTCTTACTAGTCCTATTGAGAATCAGGTTGCTCGGGATTTTCTGAATATTTTCTCTCGGGAAAATATTTTTGATGATTCCTGGGGGACTGATTTTACTTCGTCCATAACTAAAAATTTTCAAAATATGAAAGCTCCAGGTGATGATGGAATTTTCTATATCCTCATCAAAAAACTCCCAGAGAGTACCTTGTCTTTCTTGGTAAAATTATTTAACAGATGTTTCCATTTGGCATACTTTCCTGATAAATGGAAAAATGCAAAAGTTGTTCCAATTTTGAAGCCGGATAAAAATCCAGCTGAAGCTTCTAGCTACCGTCCAATAAGTTTGCTTTCTTCAATAAGTAAACTTTTTGAAAAGATAATTTTGAATAGAATGATGCTTCACATCAATACGAACTCAATTTTTGCAGATGAGCAGTTTGGATTTCGCCATGGGCATTCAACTACTCATCAACTCTTAAGAGTTAACAATTTAATTCGTTCAAACAAATCTGAAGGCCACTCAACTGGAGTTGCTCTTCTAGACATAGAAAAAGCATTCGACAGTGTTTGGCATGAAGGTTTGATTGCTAAATTGAAAAAGTTTAATTTTCCACTTTATATTATGAAATTAGTTCAAAATTATTTAACTGACAGAACTCTTCAAGTAAATTATCAAAATTCCAAATCTAATCGACCACCTGTTAGAGCAGGAGTTCCTCAGGGTAGCATTCTTGGGCCTATATTGTATAACATATTCACTTCGGACCTCCCTGATTTGCCTCAGGGTTGCCACAAATCTTGTTGAGACTTTAGCACAAATGTCCAACAAAATAATTAATAATTTCAGGCAAAAATCGTTGCAATCCTCAATTGCAACGATTAATTCCCTTTATACTTAGATAAGATTTAGTTTTAGTTTTTAGTTTTAAGATATCAATTGTTATACTGACATGCAGGTTAAAAAACCTGTTTAAAATACTGAATTGCAAAGACATGAACAATGTAAAAACACTTAGATATATATCATAACAATTAAGGCTGGTACGTTACTGCAGTAACTGGAGCACCTAGGTTAAAATGAAATGTAATTTATTTTGAATTTGGAACAAATAAAGAGTTAAAAAAAAAAACAATACATCGGTAGTAGAACAGGAAATGGCACTAATTTGGACCCATACATAAATTCAGCAATCGACTAAATTTTCACTAAACGACCAAAAATATCCATTAGTACCGTCCCAATGACGTGTTCATCTCGATAAAATTTATAAATAGCAGATTTTTAGCTATGGGCCCAATCTTAGATCCATAGGCCAACCTCGAGGCCAACATTAGAGCCATTTCCCCTATGTGTTTTAATACAAACAGGCTACTCTGATCGTAATCTGAAGACCCCTAAAAATAAACGAATTTAGACTCGGCTCCCGTCGCACGGAACATAATCGATTGAGATAAGTTGTATAGTTTGCAGGAATATTGTGATATTAATAAAACATCAGAGCTAAACTTACCGATGAAAAGTCGTATATATTAAAACTCATTTTATTACACTATTGTACAATTTTGATTATTGAATAAGTTAACATTATACTGTAGTTGGAAATGATATTTTAATACGACTCCTAAAACAGAGCCATCCTGCGCATCAACGACTACATCTAACGCTAAGTGTACTGCTTTATGATTTAGTGTAAAACTACTCAACTAAGATTATTCATTTGACGAGGACAAAGTTCAAAATTTGAATCATATATCATGTGTGTTAAGTCAGCTGTACGGATAATCCATTTTTAAAAGTTCTACTTTTAACAGCTACCTAGGCTACCTAGAGCTTGTTTTTTTATTCTGTTAAATTAAAATAAGTTCAATTTATCTTCCCTCGGATGTGTTTTCTTTCGTCTTGAAACGGTACAGTACATACAGTATTTGCAGTATAAAGTGTGGTGATGTTTACATAATCAGGCTAATAATTGCTTCGTCTACTGGCACGATTGTCTCGCTCCCCGAAAGCAGTCAACATCATTTTCCTTCTTCGAATCCATGTCAGAGAGCATTACGTGAGAATTATTGCACATTGCAGCGATATACATCGAACGTTTGGAGTGGGGTCACCTTCTTAATGGTACACATCAATGGGCGCAACTAACTGAGCTGTTATTTTTTTTTTCGATTTCGCTACATTCATAAACATGTGTTTGAGATTTGGAGGACTAAATCATAGGCAGAGGCGGGTAAACTTATATAAACTTTCACTTTCGTGGCCGCTCATGGATGGGTTATTTACCTTCCATTAGTGACGATAGTTATGTGCCTACAATGCGCCAAATGAAGGACGTCATCTGGTACGGATGTCGCACACATATTAGTGAGCTGGTGCCATGGCGAATTTAAATGATTTTGGTCTGTTACTTAAGTGGGTTCATCGTCCTCTAACGTAACGGAGAGAAAGAGAAGGAAAAAACAGCGATACGTTCGACCAGTGGAAACGAAAACAATGAATTGGTTGGTGGTACCAGTGGACACGCTCTCGCCAATAAAACCTACCATCAGTATTCCTACGCTTTGACTTATGTTTGACTATCGCGCGATCAACGGGAGCTGGCACAGAGACGAAACAGTTATGATTATGCCTTCTTTCTTACGCTCTTTCTCTTTTGTGCCTTTACTTTGCTAAACCAACGATCACCTTTGGTCTTCAATCACCAAAGAGTTACCACTCTAGGAGGCAATTAAAAAAAGAGAGTGCATGTTATAGATTGTGCCATATAATGTTTATTTCTTCTTTTCTTTTACCAGTATGAACAGTTATCTTTTGCAGTGTTGACTTCTTTTTTCACCGCTTCCTATGCTGAAGTTGATGGTCACGATTTTTGTTAGCTTGTGTGTTGCTTGAGCATTAGGTTCAATTCAACATAATTTATTCAGGTGGCAATCGTAGAAATAAAATCTGTGACTTTGACAACTATCATATCATAAAAGGAATTTAACGAAAAACAGGCAATTTTGTCACAGCACAGATGTACAGTTCAATGAACTAGGAAAATCAATCTCACGATACATCAGAGAAGAGTTGGCATCGATTTTTCTAGACATAAGCTTTCTTTATTCAAATTTCTGCTTTTACTTATACGCCCATTAAACTCCAGTTAGGTTTAACTCCATACACACGTAAAATCGCAGAGTGCACTGAATACCGCGTGCGTCCCTACTTCTGCTCGCATTGATCTTCTCTCCTTGCACTACTCTCTTCCAATATCTGCATGTTGTCTCTCTTACTCTCGATTGCAAATGTGCCGAATGCACGAATAAAAGGGAGCTGAGACAACACTAGATGTGCAGCGGATAGTTTGAAACGTAATTATTCATCTCTGACACTGAGTGAGCAATCTTGCCTGTACACGAACAACGTATTGTATTCCGTCGTTAAAAATGTTCAACTATACGACTTAGCTTTGCCTTTGTGCTATTTTCTTTCCTGACACTCATTCACCAGTGTTACCAGTGAATCATAATGAGCTAAGTATGTAGGAGTGAGTAAGTGATGTATCACAAGCCTTGATATTTAGATGTTATTCTCCTATTTCGCTTCTTCCACGACGTGAGTGAACCTTGATTGGTCGACTGTTGAACGGTTAGTCATCGCCATTACGGTAAGTGGAGCATAAAAGCGATGTGTTCAGCAATGATGAGTGATTCAAAGATTGGGTTGACTATGATGATACTGATCGATAACCAAGCTGTGCACCTCTAGGGCGCGAATACTCCGGTTCAGGGTGTGCAAACGGCACCTTCCATGTAAGACCACGAACCAACACCCGGTTCAGCACCATTTTCGCAACGTACGCTCCCGGACCGCTCTTTCACCAGACGGTGACAGCGGCACCAACCACAATGCAATAACGTAACGTATCGCAATGTGTGCGCGGATCACAGGAGTGTGAATTTTTAATTGCTAATACTTGGCGTCGTAATCTAGTGCTCGCTGTAGCAGCAGTAGTTATACGGTCATAGTTAGATAGCCACGCTGTGTGTGCTGTAGCTGAGTCAACGTGCTGTCGGAATCTTTTGCCTGGGCTGCACAAAAGTCCGGAGTCGATACAGAACGAGACAGGTTACCAAAGCTGAATATAGAAACCAGCGACGTTATTCGATCAATGCTCTCCACGGAAGGCGTATGGTTAAGGGTGTTTTCACCTTGGCGGCAAGACAAATCTTCGGCTTCCAATTGATTGTTGACAGATGCGGATAAGGTGGTAGCTTCAGTTTTCGAAGCAGAATCGACGGTCACTTGACTACTGTTGCCAGATTCGGCTACCTCACTATCCGATTCAGACTTGAGGCGCTTGGGAAGGATAGACTGAACAGCTTCCTCAGTTTCCCATTCACCAGCCTCACGTCTTCGCTTATTGCTGTTTTCAGCGCTGGTTTTCTCCACTTTCTTCACGTCCATATCAAAGTATGACACCGATGACGAATCTTCATCTCCCCGTTCATCGTTTAGCGATGGTGGGCTATTTTCCTTGTCTTCATTATCGCTCTCATCATTATTTTCACTTGACGCGTATGATTCCGACTCATCGCTATCCTCACTTTCACTACAACTTTCGTCATCGACATTGTTCACTGAAGCTGCTGCTGCTGCGGCTGCCGCTGCAGCCGCATTCCGCTGCTTCTCCATCTCCATCTCCATGCACTTGTTCTGCTGAAGGTAATGACCATGCACAATATGATATGCTTCCTCCATGAAAATATACCGCGCTTTTTGCAACACGGTTGCCACTAGTAAATTTTTATGCAGCGACACCCCGCCACGACACACTCGCGACTGGGCTATCTTGGCCAGCGAGATGCCAATCAGTCGTTGCGCTTCTGCCATGGTATCAATTTTGATGGCTCTCAACGTCTCAACGTCGGATACAGCTGCTGCAGGACCGTTGATCGTCGCTGTACCGTCACTTCCTGATGCGAAAATATCCGATGACTCAGAACGGCCGCTCGAAGCGCTGCTTTCGCGTATCTCGCTATCTGTCCGCATATAATACTTTATCAATGATCGTCCACTACGCGCACGAAAGGTAATAGTCCAATGTCGCACGGGTATCTAGTACTGGCGGTACCAAATCAGCAAAGCCACAATGTGTATGTACTCAATCGTAGCACTCTACACCAACGTCCACGTCTACTTTTGATTCAGTTCTGTTTTCCTCTTGCCTTATTGCTTCCACACACTTTGCGCTCAATTTGGATTGCTCTATCTCATGCCCCTTCTTCTCACGCTTGTTTGTTTGTATGTATGGTCATTAGCAATTATTCACTTCCTCTCACTTCCCAACCGCACGAGAGAACACCGATACCAATGAAAACATAAATTGTTCTCTCTGTTTTCACCCCACACAAAAAATCAATCGACAAGAGCGAGGGTCACGCTGATCTGCACCGTTCAAAAGACGAAACTAAATTGAAAGTTTTGTGCGCGCCTGCATATATTTATAAACTCCACGAAGGTGACGTCACGGCCTACATTTTTTACGTGTGTATTTATTTCCAGCGGAGGCAAGCAGCAAGTGAGTAAAGATAATATAAAGAGGAAGAGCGACAGCCTTCAGCGTACCGTACGTACGTTCGTATCTCTTTACGTGCACATGACGATGAGAGGCGCGAGAATCCGATCGTTCGTCTTCGCGCGCGACACGAAGGAATCGGAATCGTGTTATTTTTTGAGCGCAGTTTTTTTTTTTTTTTTTCGTTTCCTCTCCTAAGTGTACACACAATTGTATGTGTGTAAACAAAGCGATAAAATGCGATGATTAACCCTATACAGTTCGGGGCGTCTGGTGCGGGCTGCTGCTGCTATTGCTGATGCGGCTGTCACAGAAAAATTCCGCTTTACACGCTTTCGGTTCTTTTGCCACCGCAATCGGTAGTCTCGGGAGTCAAGTCAGGTTTTATAAATTTGATACGAGAGCTGGAACCGTGGGAATTTTGTGAAATGGGGTTTCAACTCTGGATTGGTTTTCCTTATGTTGGATTTCGATCTGGAACGATTATTTGTGATTTATTATATTTATTGACGTATGTATATATTTTAACACAACTATCAGTTAAAGAACATTTATCTATCACAATGCATTTCAGCTGATGCGGTTGTCCAAGTGAAATGAGAACCGTGTTTCAGAAGCCAAATGTTGAGTGTATTTTACAATTGAAATTATTCAGGTGATACTTACCGTGAAACTTCAAAAGCACAAATGTCAGCTTCCATAAAACATACAATGATGAAATTGCTACTCTCTGTTTGCTATAGTGCAGCAAGCAAGGAGTAGCAATTTCATATTTGTATGTTTCGTGAGAGCTGACATTTGTGCTCTTGAAGCTTCATGGTAAGGCTTCCTTAGAGTATTATCTGAATAATTTCAATTGCATGTAAAGTAAAAACCATATTTTCGTCAGTGAGAAGTTCTCGTTGAATACAGCAAAAAAAGTTGTTGAATATTACACAGGTGCACAGGTTATTCTATCGGTTGTGTAATAATACGCTGTACGGTGTGCACAGAATTTGCAAAGAAATTCACATCCATGGATATAATATTGTACTTGCTTTTTGAAATTACATCAATATTTCATTCGCCAACATAAATTACGTGTATCTGACCAGTGATCTTACAGTTTTGCACAGAACTCGAATTGATTTGCTGTCTATGTCTCAGGGCATATTCAAGGCAGGGAAGATTTTGTTTTGCTGCCGTGAGATGCCCGTGCGATAGAAAGAAGCTTGATGAGGATTTTGTAGATTTCCTGCAAAATTATAAAGCGCGATGCGAGCAGATAGGGGAAATGGCTCTTATGTTGACCTATGGACCTAAGATTGGGTCCATAGCTAAAAATCAGCTATTTATCAATTTTATCTAGATGAACGCGTCATTGGGACGGTATTAACATAGAGGTAACTCTAAGACTAGTAGGTCCCGAAGAAACGTGCTCAACTTTTTGGCTCAGCTCTGGTACTCTCTTCGGTCCCAAGCTAATCGATTCACCCCTCGATACATAGGAAAATCCACTAACCACTCATTTTATCTGTCAAACTTTCATAGCGAATTAAAACAAACATAGTGTAGTACTAGAATTTTGACTAGAATGGGGTACGTAATCGATTTGCTTGGAACCAATAGGCTAGTCAAGTAGTGAGCCAATTTTAAAATCGTTAGTTTCGTATTGATTGTTGGTACTAATGAATATTTTTGGTCACTATTGAAAATTTAGTCGATTGCTGAATTTATGTATGGGCTCAAATTAGGGGCATTTAGGCCTACATACATTACATCCATTTCCTCTTGATATTAGATATGTAAAATGACAAACAGAAATTTTGTAGATAGATTCAATTGCGTGAGATCTTCGAACATCTCAGAATTGAGACAAGGTAGTTCGGGGTTCTGTTGGGAAAGCACAAGTTCATGCTAGAGGTGGTTGGGTTACATTCCTGGTATGGTCCAGGTCCGATACAGGAGTTTTTCTCACCCGAGCGTTTCTCGACTTCCCTGGACATAGAGAATTGTATATACATACATATCCCTATCAATGAATCCCATTCATTCTCTCTCTGTCGCTATCAATATTTTTACAGATATGCTTAACCTTCAGTCTATTCCCATCCTTTATTTCCATCCCACTCGCATGCGGTCGCAGTGCTGCCCAGGCATGGAAGATCATATACATTCATTTTGTTGCATCCCCAGAAGTGACGCTCCCCCTGTTGCCACACAGTTTATACTAATGAACAAATTCGACAGGTTTAGAAAACTCCTAGGGGCACGCAATAACCTTTAATTCCGACACAGGCAACGGCTGCAATAAAATTAATTTCAAAAACTACTGCTTTATTTACATAAATTACACATTGTAGAACATTAACTACTTTTAAGTCCATTAATTACAGTCAAAATTTCGTAACTAAAGTACATTAATTACATGTTCAATACATGTAATAACATTAAGTACGGATAGTTAATTTTAGTTACCGTCAGTACAACCATAGAGGTAACTCTAAGACTAGTAGGTCCCGAAGAAACATGCTCAACTTTTTGGCACTACTTCAAAACGCATTAATTACTTTAAGTACTTTTGTTTGCATTTTAACTTCAACGCACCGGTTCTTTGTATAGGCCTTTTTAATGCACCACCAACGTAGAGTGCGCCACGCGAGTTCGAGAAGAAACGTCAACCAAACCGTTTGTTTACATCAGAATAACTATTTTTCACAACGCAAGTTAAAGAATTTTTCATTCAAAATTTTGCCAATTTCCATCAGCTATTGTCTTATTGAACGATTTTCCACAGATATGAACTGAGTTGAACCTCAACTGGTCACACACAAGAAATCCGGAAGATTATAACCAAGGTTGCAAAGACTCATTTCAGCTAAAACAATGTTTTTCTAAATTATGAAATAATTAGATGCCATGATCAAATTTTGAATTGGTAGGATACAAGAAAAGGTAGCAAAGAATGTGTTTGACATATTAAACCTGTTTATTTCACTTCATGAGAGTCACAATCAGCGATTTTTCACAAACTCACTCACTCACTCACTCACTCACTCAGCGATCAGCAAATCGCTGATTGTGACTCATAGAAAGCAAAATTTACAGGTTTTATGTTTCCAACGCATACTTTGTAGCCTCTTCTTGTAAGTTACAAGTAAAAAATGCCATCATACCATCTTTTGGTTTTATTATTCCGAAAAACATTATTTTAGCGGAAATGAGTCTTTGCAACCTTGATTATAACCACTAAGGCACTTTTCTAATTTTCAATTTTTCTCAACAAAAATATTCCTCAACACCAGCAGGATCTTTGCAAAAACGATACAGATTTAACTTTTTCAACTGTAGATTAAGTTTTGAAGCATCTCAGATGAAACAATTTATCAGGAAAAGTGAAAAAGTGTTCCACTTCCTATGTCTCACCGCAAAAATTTCTGCTCACAACACTCTTTTTGACGTTCTCCTATTCATCACCAGAGGTTGAATCGATCGCTTAGTTTTTATTAAAAAGGCCTATTGCGTGCCCCTCGGAAAACTCTCAATTAACAACTGTGCAAGTGCTCAAAAAACACTAAGATGAGAGCCGGCGTAAGTGGGGACGTAATCAAACCAGAGAAGAAGAAGAGTTGAGTTTTAGGATGTTAGCAAACTCTATTGCTAGTAAATTCATAATTTGTAGAAAACATAAACAATGTAGAAATAAGCTTTAGCATTAGCATCGAACAAGTTGCACAATATCGTAGGTGGTACGAATTCAAAACTATTAAGAGCAAGACGGATATCTATTACTGATATTACTAATATCTAGGGGAACTACGAAATAATTACTATCTCCGATATAAAGACATATCCCACTCCAACAGTTAAGGATTGTCCTGGCCACGTCCTTACAGCTGGTAGGGATAGGAAAGGTATATTAGTCCAACATTTACTCAAGAGAGATGCAGAGAACTCTACGACTTCTCATAAATGTTTCGGAGATTTAGGAATTATGTTAGTAGGGAAGGTAAGCCATAGGATCCACCCAATCAGTGTTGCTAGCAAATGTAGATTATTTTTTATAAAAAAAAGTAGAAGGGTCTGTGCCTAGGGGCACGAACGGAAGCTTGACGTAGGACCGCTAGTGGACGGAATAAATGTGAAGAGCATTTAGTTCTTTTAATTGATCAGTTATCTATTATCTCAACTCTTTCCGTTTTTGAATTGTAGGCGTACCAAATTTGTAGTATTTTTTTTTCAAAGAGAAAGTGGATTAAGAGAATCAATCAAAATCACTTGCACCCCTGCTTCCAAGTTTGGTTACAAGATTACAACTCTGGAGAGCATTTTGTGTGGTCGTTGGGGGCTTGTGGTTCTGAATATGAACAAACAAGCACAGATAAATTTTATTTTAACTCTTTACTGATGTAAGCTTGATGGCCCTGAAAAGGGCCGTTTTATTGAAGAGGACATCCATGGCCACTTACGTTTGGCGTGTTTAGTTTAGGTGACAGCATCACGGACCTCATTTTCCAGGAACACCTTCAGCACACCTCGTAGATCAGACCGGAGATACGTTTGACACCACCACGGCGAGCCAGACGACCGATGGCGGTTATCTCGAAGAACTTTTCGATGACTCTTGGCGCCTCCTTTACCAGACCTGTTCCTTCTTTGCCACAACAATTGCTGCTTGTTAGGTGTAAAGGAGTTGCTGTTCACCATACAGCAGCGCTCTTTTATATCTTTTCAGGTTAAAGCAGAATGATGTGCAACCAAGTAGTGGTATAAAAGCTACAAAGACTCCTCCCATTATGACTAGTTTGCTATCAAGTAGCGACACTGCCTCTTTTCCTTTTGCGTACACGGCGAATGAGAACGACCCAAATTTGAGTTTAGTTCACTCATCATCGCCAAAAGTGCAGGAACTCAGCGATGAGTAAATT